ATTATAGTAGTTCAGCAACAAAAATAGGATGGAATGCTAAGCTCTAGAGAACTGTAATCACACTGTTCTTAGAATACTCCGGTTTTTACATTTTTAATACATTAAATAATTCTCAGTTCCTTCAGGAAGTTTATTGAACCTTACTTACACACATTGTACATGATAGCAGCAAAGCTTTTTTTAAGCTATATTAGGTAATAACTTCATCATGTAGCTGTACTTCAAAGGCTTCAATTTTAATTTTTAGTCCGCTCCACTTTCAGCCTTTAAGTGGAAGCATCTCTCATACTTTCAAGTGATTCTTCTGAAAAATACTTTATAAAAACATGTATTTTAGCACAATGAGAATGGACAAATAATATCCATAATACACATTTTCTACTAGAAGTAGAAAAGGTAGACATCATTATGCACAAGTTTGGGGATTGTTTTCATTTGTTTTGTGTTTTGTTTTTTTTTTTAAGGAGGGGTAATACCTTTAATAAACAAAAGTACCTTTTAGTAGCTGAACTGTTAGAACAAGAAAACACTGTTCAACAGTGACTTGTCTCATGCTAAAACAAACCAATCTCATTTCAGCAATACCAGCTCTGCAACCCATTGTTCATGACCTCTTTGTGTTGAGAGGAACAAATAAAGCAGATGCTGGAAAAGAGTTGGAAACGCAAAAGGAGGTGGTAGTGTCAATGCTGCTGAGACTTATTCAGTACCATCAGGTAAGAGAGAAGGACAAAGTTTCCCATTTTATGGTCTATGGAAGAGTGATATTTCTTTGGCTGCTAAGAATGCTTCAGGGAATTTTACTTATTTTCTATACCAAACTTGAATAGCTGGACTCTGTGTGACCTTTCTTTATAGAGAGAGTATGAAAAGATTTTTGGGACTAGGGGAAAAGTTCTGCACTACAAATTAATATTTTAAGTCAAAAAACATGTCTGTGAGATTTTGTAGTCAAGCCTAGGTAACAAAGCACTAAAAAGCTCCAGTTAGGATCACAGTTGCTTTTGTTTGCAAATTGAATAAACAAGTTTACTGAGTCATAGTAAATTAGGATTCAAGAAACTGAAAAGAATGGGGGTGAAAGTGGAAGAGAGAACAGGGTTAGAAGTGGGAAGCATGCTGCAAAGAGCTGATTTAGGTGTTGCTGTACAATAACAATATCTTCAATGAAATTTTAAATTAGTAATTATTTTAATAAGGTAATGGAACTGGTAGACAATTGTTAGCACATGCTGCTTTGCTCCAGACCTCATGGGTCTGTAAAACATGTTTCTTCTGCCTTGTAGGAATGTAAGTATTCCTTTCTTCAGTATGCTTTGTTTAAAAAAAAACATAAAAGTAATTTTAAAAGAAATTATATAGTTAACATGGGAACTTACTGCTTATTCAGGTGCTTAACAAACTTAATGTGCTTTTCCTTTCATAATGTGAAAATGCAATTGTAGTGTATGCTAATTTAAGCAATTTATTTTCTGAGAATATTTGGAAAAAAGTCAATACATTTTGTCAAAATAATTTAGAACTGAATGTTCAGATTGGGATAATTTTGTGTATCCACATTTTCTTTTGAATTTGTAGTTTTATAATAATAAAATTACTAATATAACTGTATGAAATTACATTCTGTAGACACATGATTTGACATAGTGAAATAACTGTGTTACATAAGGTACTGCAGTTGCTGGCAGATCCACTGCTGACACACTTAACCTATTAAAGACCACCCATGCACTGCTCTTCCCACACCATCCCATTTTTACTTCTTATTCTGTCCTGTTCTGGTGGTGCAGTATGTGTAAAGTAACCCTGGGGCAGTTCTGTTATTCCCTGACTGTGGCTGGCATGTTCTGCAGTGGTATCCCTGTAATTTTAGAAGCTCCAAATGCTGCAGCCTGTAACTTTTTCTGCTACAACAGTAGCTACCATCTCTAGAGCTCCAGAACTGAAGTCCTTCAGCCCAGAATTGCTTCTAACTGCTCCCACGAGAGCACTTTTTAGGAAGAAAGTTACTTAGTGATTTCTTTGTGGATTTTTTGCTTGTTTGTGTTTTAGTTGACTGCATTTCTGAATCTTAACTATTTACTTCTACACGTGCTCCACCTAGCTGGTTTTCAGAACCAGTTCCTTTAGTCCTGCTTCCCAGTCCATATATTAACATTCCTGTTTGGTGTGTCTTTGGCCTGTCTATCCTTGTAAGCATGGTCTCTAGGACTCTCAAATGGATGACATGTTCAGCAACTCCCAGTGATCCTTGGTGTTGGTTTGCTCCATTATATGCTCTTCTTTTATATGCAAGTGACATTTCTTAGGTCAATGAGCTCCATAAAAATGTCTGTCTGTTTCCTTGGCCAAATTTATACTTCATTTGAGCTATAGTAAAGAAAGAGTATACACACAGGAAATTGCCCTCTTCCTTCCTCCCCTTTTTGTTGAGTGTGCAATGCAGCATTTAGATTTACTATTCTTTTTTAAGGTTTTTGAGTAGCCTTTTGACAAATGCCATTTAAAAAGAACTAAGAAAGCCGCCTTCTAGTTTATAAAAGTAATTAGAAAAATTCTGAAAAATCATCAGTAAAAAAAAGCTTTTAACCTGAAAATGGTATTTTAAAATGTTGTGTGATTTTTCATGTGAGTTTTCTTTTCTTTTTTGCTGATGGATGGAACAGTAAATATTTTTCCTACTGTGGTATTACTTAAATGTTTCCTGTTAGTGTGGGTGTTTACTTGCATTCTTTTGGACTTTTCCTCAGGTGCTAGAAATGTTCATCTTAGTATTGCAGCAGTGTCATAAAGAAAATGAAGACAAATGGAAAAGATTGTCACGTCAAATAGCTGACATTATTCTCCCAATGCTTGCAAAACAACAGGTTATTATATTATTTTTTTCATCTATAAGCATCTAAAATAAGTGTTATAATGTATGTGTCAATAGTGGCTTCGGGTGCTTGATTTTTTTTAATTCAAAGACAGATTTTTCTTGAAAGTGTGGTTGCCATATCTGAATAAAAACAATTGCTGCAACGTAAATTCAGTCTTTGAAGTGATGAAGGCCATATTTAAATGGATTAATTATGTGCAGTGTCTTCAATGCTGTTTCCAGAGGAAGCTCATTCTGCATCTCTTACACATGATTGTCTCAGGGCACTTACTACATTATGTGAAGATTCTCTTATGCTTCTAGAATGTCAACATTATTTTTTTGTATCTGTAGGGGGACTGATGGAGTTTTTTCTTAGGAGAATGAAAAGACAGTCTTTTGCATAGTAATTACATTAGTAAGTCACAGTATCATGGAATGGTTGAGGTTGAAGCAGACCTTTAGATACTGTCCTCCCAACAAAGCAGGGTCTGCTTGAGCAAGTTGCTTAGGACTGTGTCCAGCCGAGTTTTGACAGTCTCCAAGAACAGAGCCTCCATAACCTTTCTGGGCCACCTGTTCCAATGTCTGAGCATCTTCATAGGCAGAAAACAAATAAATATATTAAAAACTGTATTTAAATGGAATTTCCTGTATTTCGACTTGTGCTTATTGCTTTTCACTCCAATACTGGGTATCACTGAAGAGATTCTGGTTTTATCTTCTGCACTTATGTTATCTCCTCCTCTTACTTCCCCTGGCAGATACTTGTATAGATCGATAGATTAACCTGAGCCTTCTCCAGGCTAAACAATCACAGCTGCCCCTTGTCTGGCAGATGCTCCAAGCCTGTAACCATCTGTGTGGCTTTCTGCTGGACTCCCTCCGGTGTGTGCAAGTGTCTCTTAGTGAACTGCACACTGGGGAAGGGAGTAGGCCCTTTGTGTCTTGGAAGAAGACTCCTATTAGAAGGGCTTTCAGTGCTACTCCCTAAGCAGTAGAGGACTTGTCTTCAAGACAGCTTTCCTAGAACTAGAAACACTTTAAGGATAAAAAGTAAACTTAGAGTAATTGTGGCCTTAAAAGTTCTTGACTCTGTGATGGCAGATCTCTAGCACCATGAGAAGATCCCAGGGTTGGGGAGAGTGTACAGTATTGTGGATTAGGCAACAGGCTTTGAGCAAAGATAAAATGCTGGCAATTTGAACATGCCTTTGTATTGTATCAGTCTGTGTATATACTCAACTATAATATTATTAGGCAAAATAGTCATGAAGATTAAATTTCATGTCCAGTCCTTTGCTTTCTGCAGTTGATTGTTTTATATTTTAGCTAAAAAACTGATCAGGTAAGGTGTCCTACCTCTGTTGCTGCTATGGAATACCATTGTAGCTGTTCACTTACCTTAATATTAGCACTTATTTTCTCCTAGTTATCTGTTAAGTTTATTCATGACCAGAGTTGCTGTCTATAAATATGCCTGGAAGGATGTGCAGGGTGGAGGAAAGATTTTAAATTTTATGACAAGTCAGTCTTTTGGTCTCATTCTTTGAATAGGATGTATTTCACCTAATAAAATATGTGGTATGTATATTGAATATCATCTGATAGATTTTTGTCCATGTTCTCAAACCTCCGGAGTAGGAAGCAATGAAAGTTTTAAATTTAATTTTCATAGATTTTTGTTGCTCTAAATTTTGTACTGTAAAAGCAGTTTATTACACACAGTGTGTCATAGAAATGTAAAAACAATGTAAAACATGAAATAGTAATTTTCTGTTGCAGTTGCATTTAGCGGACAGTTGTAAGTTAATGTTGTGTTTTTCTTTTACAGATGCATATAGACTCTCATGATGCTCTGGGAGTACTGAACACCTTGTTTGAAATTTTGGCTCCTTCCTCCCTTCGCCCTGTGGATATGCTTTTAAGGAGTATGTTTGTTACTCCTAAAACAATGGTAAGCAAGTGGGAACCTGCTAAAGCAGCTGTGACCTGTTTTTAGATAAGTAGTAAAAGTGATTGTTTCCAGGCCAGAGACAATCTGGTGTCATTTGTGTAGAACAAAGCAGCATGTGTTTCTCTTTCATATTTTGCAGTGCAGTGTTAAAGTAACTGCAGCAGATTTTAGGAAGTAATTTATTAGAACTAATAAGATTTACCATCTAGGAGCACTATACAGAAAGGTTCTACTTATGGACTGCTTATCCTCGTTTTGTATTTAGAGGATCAGGAGGGTAGAGAAACATACTGTTATAATAAATTCTAGAATGCAGTTAATAGGTAAATCACACTTTTTTCCTTATATGAGTATTTGTACTGCTTTTGTAGTTTATTTTTTTAAGACTTTAGAAAAGTTCAACACATGCCCATGTTCTGTTGGATACTTTTGAAGTTAAACATTTTCAGTAACTGTTGCATAAAATCAGACCCATTTGAGAAAGGAGCAAGCAGGAAATAACTTCTGTGTTCAGGTCTTCCAAAATGCTATTCTCATGTCAACCTGTCAATCTTATTCACAATATTAATGATCTGCTTTTTTCTGTTTGTGCTAGGCATCAGTGAGCACTGTCCAGCTATGGATTTCTGGAATTTTAGCTATCCTTAGAGTTCTGATTTCACAGTCAACAGAAGACATTGTTCTGTCCCGTATACAAGAGCTTTCCTTCTCACCGTATTTGATTTCATGTCAAGCAATTAACAGACTGAGATGTGGGGAAAATAATGCAGCTGCACCAGAGGATCACACTGAGGTTAAACAGGCTAAATACCTGCCTGAAGAGACATTTTCTAGGTATGTTGTCTTTTAAATAATTTAGAGGAAAGATTAATGTTTCTGAGAAATCACAAATATGTCATGGAATATAGATCTGTGTATGGAACTGTTATCTGATAGGAATAAATATGGGAAATAATGAGGTGGACAATAGAGGGAGGAGATGAGCAGTTTTTGTGGAGATTTTGTACTGTTCTGATACCTGTTCTCAAGCCAAAGACTTCTTAAAAGCATGTGCAAAAATTTAACTGGTTAACCTTTTACTTTCCTCCCTGTGTGGAGTGTGAAATATGAATCACCCCTTTAGTAGAGGCCCACAGGTTCTGTAATAGTATCTTGGCAGCAGATGGGTTTAAATCTTTTAAGTTTGTCCTGCTCTCTACCTCCTATTTTAAAAGAGTTAGCTTTGCCTACTTAACTTTCCATGCTGATGTCCACAGAATGTGACGAATTTCAGGCAAAAGAAGTGTGGAGAAATGGTAGTGGTTTTATGTTGACATGTTTGCCATTAGGGCATTCTGGTTTAATGTGGTGGAAAGCATTTGAAATAGCAAGTTGTTTACAAAATTAAGAACTTTGTGCTCAGGTATGTAACTTCACATAGAAACTAAGTGTTTCTTATCCTCAGCTTACTGTGAGGGTCATGGGTAGAGGCAAGAGGGGATTTTGGACTCCCTTAATAGGAACATATGTCCAACAGAAGTGAGTTGAGGAACAACTATGACCAGGAGCAAGAATGGCTTTCTTCAAATGCCATTTTTTGGTGTTTCTTTTGACCTTGTTTTTTTTCTTGTTTTTTTTCTTTTTTTTTATATGGAGCTGTGTAGTAGAGTGTGGATAGATGAGACTGTAAGCAGCTGAATTACTGTGACTTGCTGAGTTACCCCTGACTTTTTCTGTTCATGGCATACATGATTTTTCAAGGTTCTTATTACAACTGGTTGGCATTCTACTGGAAGATATTGTTACCAAACAATTGAAAGTGGACATGAATGAGCAGCAGCATACTTTCTACTGCCAGGAGCTGGGCACACTGCTTATGTGCTTAATACATATCTTCAAATCAGGTAATACTTTGCAGTAACGAAGTGCACCCAGAACACTGTTGGACATTTAACATGATTCTGTGCTCCATTGTGTCCCAACAATCTCTAATCGATTTTCTTTTTAAGCTCTTCTTACAGAGTTCTGTTATAAAAGTCCTTTCTTGAGAAAAAAAACCTTAGTTGTGCTTCTGTCATTGCTACTAGCTCCTTCTTGCAAACTAAGTATCATAGGGTTAGATCTAAGTAAATAAAATGCTGATAGAAGTGTTCTGGATCTTCAGCTGGTTCTTTTCTGCATTGCCTTACTTTAACTTTCAGTAGCTTTACTCTTCTAGTCCTCAGTCACAGTAACAGGTGATACTGGGAAACCAATTGAATTACGTTGTAGGAGTTTGTGCAGCTGTGGTGGAGCATGTTTTGTCTTCTGACTTGTCAGAAGAAATTGAGTCTTCAAACCTAGATTCTTGTCAAAAGACCCCAGGATTATGCAAATCCTGTGAAAAGGCACAGAATATGTTGACAATTACCAGAGCTTTCCTTGATCTTTAAGTCCCGCTTTAGGGCATAGGACTTTGGATGTAGTGAGTAATAGTTCTCTTTTCCCATGTGTATGTTACAGTAGTAACTACGGTGTGCATGCTGTTAACTACTGTTGCAGGGAACATTTGAAACATTTTAATACATAACCACCAAGGTGATTTGGAGTGATTAAATGGTGAAATCAGAAAATCCATCTGGTGATTAAAATCAGAAAAGTGGGTTCCTGCAGAGGTGGGAGCTTGGCGATAATAGAAAGGGAATGCTCAGCTGGTTCTGCTACAGTGACTGGCTTCTGAACTGCACTGTGAGTCTTGACAGGAACTATGTCGAGATTTTAATGCAAAATTAAAATACTAAAGTACTCATGCATAGCACTGGGATATGTGTTACTGCATGATCTTTAGAAATGAATTTAATGTTAGACTACAAATGAACTCTTAAGTGCTAGCAGTTAATGTTGTTACCTAGCACGGTGTAAGGGAGTAGAAGGAAGGTTGTTCAGGTACTTGGTCTGTATTTTCATGTTGTAACATTTTCCTTCACGTTAACTAAGTGCTCATTTTTGTAATACTTCTGTTCAGTGAAAACTTCTATATTTAAGTTTTATTCTCATAACTACAGGTGCAGTTTATAGGGACTTGTGTGTGGGAACGTAGACTGAGGTCTTTTGTCATATTTAGCCACTGTTCTACTTGGATGTTTTGTCTTCTCACCTCTTACAGTTTTTTCAAAATGTAAGCATTGCTGCCTTCTAGGAATCTACCAGATTAGAAATTAACATTTTAAGTGTGCTAGTTTGAAGTTAGTAGAAATAAAAGGCATAGACAAAATGAAAAGATTTGCATGCAGTGGCTTCCATGACTGCAGAAAGTCACTAGATGGTGCAATTACTGCAAATGCAGGAGGCTTGAACGGGAATAACATTGCCTTGCTAGTAAGTGAAACAGAAGTTGTAAGCAGTTATTTTTTTCATTCTTTGCTGTTTACATTGTGTATTTATTGGTCCTGGGGGCAGCTTAAACTGTTCCACATGGCTGTGGAATTTACAACTTCATTCTTCTATGTATCTGGCAATGCAAGCAAACAACATTACAGATCTTTGTTATTCTGATTACCTTTTGGTTTCTAACTGCTTCTGAATAAATCCTTTTTCCCCTGATTTTTTTCTTCTCATAGAAACTCAAAGTCCTGTACCTTTACACATCTTTTTTGGTCTTTTTTCCTTGTTTTCCCTCACTTTGTTTTGGCATGTGAATACAGAATCAGCAAGTCAGAAAGCAAAATTCAGCTTTCATGCTGAGTGTTCAGTGTGCAGGGTAATGAATTTTCTCCACTTAAACACATAAACTTTTTTGCACTTTAGCAGTTGGATGGAGGGGTATCATTTTAGTTTGAACTCGTATTTGGGAAGCGCTCATCTGAAGTAGGAGACTTGTAAATGATTTTCCTTAGCAGATAGGATAGTAATTAAGGCATGGTTCTTAACTAGAACTGTGTTTTACTTTATAAATGAAACAAAATAACCCCCAAAAATCCTCGTCTGTAATTAATGATTTTAAATTTGGTAAAGTTTTCATGTATCAGATAAACTTTTTGATGCATGACACAAAAATGTGAGAAGATAGGTTTTGTTTCAATTCTAGTGTGATCTAAAGCATTTGTTATTGAGTCTGGGAGCTTGTCATTACTGGTTTACACTTGTAAAACCATTTAGGATATATCTTTCTTCCAGGAATGGTAGTGTCTTATGAAACAATGTTTGTATTCTTAGGGTACCCTGAATAATTTTAAAATTTCAGAATTCAGACTAGAGCATGGTTACTCTAACACACTTTTATTGTTTGCAGGGATGTTTAGAAGAATCACAGCTGCAGCTACCAGGCTTTTCACAGGAGATGGATCAGATGGTAGTTTCTATACCCTTGAAAGTTTGAGTGACCTTGTTCAATCCATGATTCCCACACACCCTTCTTTAGTTCTCCTCTGGTGTCAAATCCTGCTTCTTGTCAATTATACCAACTACAACTGGTGGTCAGAAGTTCATCAAACCCCAAAGTAAGATTTGCTTTTGATCCTGAGTAGTAGTAGTGTATCTCAATTGTATTTTCTGAAATTATATTTCCAAAATCTACCTTTTTATCTGCTAAGCCATGTCAGCCTTTTGAGTAGTACCATTTGGATTCTGAATTGGATAGTTCTGCATTTACTTTATGTGTATACATATTGTCTGTGCTGGTATCAGTATGTCTTTCAAAATAAGGAAATGTGTCCTGTGCTTAGTTGTTCCTTGAAAGAACTGCCAGGTAATCTCTCCACTTCTAAGCCAAGAAAGCTTCATTTGTGTATTACACATAATTAAAATTATAGAAATAACTATCACAAAATACTCAGTATGTCAGATTTCATGTTCCTGTGGAGGCTTTGTATTTCACCTTCTAGCACATAACCAGCCATGGATGTATGATATACACTGTTGTGTTTATGAAAATGCAATATAGTCTTTATAGCTGTAACTGTAGTGGTATCTGTTCTCAGTGAGTCTCTTGCTAAATGCTGTTAAAACATAGTATCACCACTGTGCTGATTCGTTAGCATCAAGCACCACAGTAACCTCACTTAAAGTTGTTTGAAATTAAGAGATTTGGTCTAAAATTAGTTTTCTTTTGGTCTGATGTTAGTTCATCCCACCTTTCAAACACTGGAATGATTCATCCTCTGATGAAGTAAGGTAGGGTGTAAGGCAGATAAGCCCCTACTTGGGTGGGTGACCCTCTGTGTTAACTGTAGAGGGAGGCTGACAGCTGACTTGAGATGCGTTGGGTAGGCTCATCTTTCTCCACAACATGAGTCAGTCAGTACTTGCTCAAATGTAAGATTCTTACCTCAGTTTAACCTCATGATGTGAAAAAATATTTTTCTAATTTGGGGAAACATGAAATTACCAGGCTTATGAGCAAAGTAAAGCAACTGAAATAGCTAAGGTGACATTTGCTATCTGTTGTGGTTACCTTTTCTGATTTACTAGTAACCTGCTTTTTTCTGGGCTGGGTGTCACTTTTGATCTGACACTAGACTTAAGTGCTCAAGAACACTGGTTTGATCTGAGAAGGAAATACAGAATTAGGTTCTGTTATCCTTTCAGACATGCAGTGGCCTTTGTTTTTCTTTTAAATAACCTGTTTAGTTCTTCAGACTGTCCAAGGAAGCAACAATTACAGAACCAAAAAAGTGATGCCGAAAGTAAAGTGCTGATGGAAGGCAAAGTGTATACTTCAAAAGCAGTCTAATGTTTGAATGAAATTTCTAGGAAAATAAGTATTATGTAAAGACACTAGTAGGATATCCCAAACAATTTGATTCTTAATGTTTCAATAGCCAGCATAGCAAAATATATTAATAAAATGGTAACAAAATATAATGTGCTTTTTGCAGGAGACACAGTCTTTCTACAACTAAATTGCTTAGCCCTCAGATATCTGGAGACAGTGATGAATCAAATTCAGTGTCTAAACGTGGCATGTGCAATCGAGAGATAGTGAGAAGAGGAGCACTCATTCTTTTTTGTGACTATGTTGTAAGTTTTGAACTATGAATTTTATAACTGTAGTTTGGAGTTATTTAATGTGCATTAGCAGGGTCTGGTTCACAAGTGAAAAATGAGGACTTGTGAAACTAGTAATGGTATTTTCAGGTGGTGCTTCTGTAGGCTTAGGTATGATCTTGTTTGGCATCCTTTTTTCTATTCTGAACTCAGGATTATCTTGGCTTCTAAAGGGTACCTGGCAGGTAATAGAATTGCCTGCTTGATATCATGTCCCTTACTTGAGATGTGCTAGGAGTGATCTAAGATGTGTTGGCTTTGGCCTCTTGCTGCAGAGTATTAGCATTTTAATTCATTTTGGAGCTTTTGAAGTGAATCTTTCTCTAATACCTAGTATTTTGCACTTCAGTTTGCATTGCAGAGCAGTTTGGGGGCAGGCAAACTGCATTCCTTTCATATTAAACTAAAACAAGTTGTGTTGTTGTTTTTTTTAAAAAAAACCCTTCAAGTGCTAGTGAACATTGAGTCACCAGAGTCAGATTAGAGATAGTCCAAGGTAATTATTGACAGATCTCTTTGAATTTTCTTTCCAGAAATTAATCATCTTGTGTTTAAGGACAGTGATAAGAAATCTTTAAAAAGAAGACTAAATGAAAATCACATTTTACAAGAAGACTCTGTGTGTCCATGTTTATTTCAAACAGCATTTAATTAAAAGCAGTATCTTTGAATCAACCTTTTCAATTTACTTGTTTCTAACTTGCATTTTTAGTGTTAAAAAAAGCTACACATTAATTGTAAATCTCTTAATTTGTGAAAAGATGAAAAGCATTTGGAAAAATTGTCATGTAAAAATGATGGTGATATTAAAATATGGACACTTTATGCCATTTTAAAAAATAGCTACCACAATCATATATGAAAAACTTCATGGTGTGTCTGATAAAGTTTTCATTAATTAAAACACTTAACATGGTTATTACTGGAATCAGAGTTTGAATTTTTTCCCCTTCAGTGTCAAAACCTGCATGATTCAGAACACTTGACCTGGCTTATTGTGAATCACGTTCAAGACTTGATTAATCTGTCCCATGAGCCTCCAGTACAGGACTTCATTAGTGCTGTGCACAGGAACTCGGCAGCCAGTGGTCTCTTCATCCAGGCCATTCAGTCACGGTGTGAGAATCTTGCAGCTGTAAGTTTTTAACTTCTTGACTGCTTTGTAAAGAATAGCGTCACATATTTCAGAGTTTAAGTTTAATTTATAAGTATGCACATTCTGACATTTCTGGGTCATTTATCAACTTTCATTTTATTTTTCAAGTCACTTCTTTAAGAATCCAAACAATGAGCCTTATGTTAGCAACTTCAGTATCAGATATGTTCCAATCCATCGGGTTGATGGATTTGAGTAGAGTTTGTTAATCTGGTTTTCTTCCTTCCTATTACCCTTGCATAATAAATACCTGAGGGGTCAATTAAAGCTGTAACTTCTCTCTTTGATTTCAGTACCTTGGTAGCATAAATAACAGAATTACTAACTACAGAGGCATGAAGACTAACTAGTTCATCTTCGTTGGCTCTAATAGCATGAAAATTATTTGCAAGCTCACGCTTTCCCCAGTGATCTGCCCCTCAAGTCGTAGCCTCTTGGTGAGGGAAAAGAAGTTCAGTGTATGATTTCTGTTGATTATTTTAGTTTTCAAATTAACAGGAATGGATGTTTTATAGAGATGTAAGGTTGTATGCATCCCTCTTAATCTTGGGAACTCCCAAGGTGGGAAATGTAATTTCCTGGGCTTCTTCTAGAGCTAATGGGGGGAGATGCTACCGGACCCTCAGTAGCCTTATGATACTACCTCTCTTTTCCTGTTGTCTCTATGCAAATCTGGTACAACTGCAGTAGTGCTTTATGGATGTGAAAAAAACACTTTAACGTTGGGTGAGAAGAATCTGAGTAAATCCATAGCTTGAACTACATGTGTTTGAATGGAAGATGTAGTGATTCTGTGCAAGGTTTGGTGATAATCAGAAAAGTCAGTAAAATTAAAATACCTGATATTTACATCTACTCTTAAAGAAGATTGGTTCCACAAGTCAAACTAGTTTGTTTCTCTCGTCATATTATTGGTGCTGAATTGATGCTCGTATTTTAAAAAATAGAAAAAATTTCCTTGCACTCCCTTTTAGTCCTGAATAGCTATTACTGTTTCTAAGATTAAACATGTACTCAAAATGCTTATCCCAAATGTTTATCTGAATTTCTGTTCCATCTCTTGTCTTCACTGTGTTTATGTTCCTACCTCCTTCTAGCTAATGTCCAAGCTTCTCCCTGTTCTCAAAGCTTTCTGCAGTTGCACCTGTGACTCTAGTTTTTTCCCTAAAAGTTTTGCTCCGTACTTTTTTCTTCATTGTAAGAGTAACTTTTTACGATTAAACATCAGACAACTTAGTGTTCCTGTTAATTAAATAAACCAAGTAACACAGGCCTATTCATATATAGATTATTATATTAATCAGGTAGTTGTCTGCAGTAGTTTTTTCTAAATGTCTTTCCATTTAGATTTAAGATCTTAGTATTCTAACTGATTGTGCTTTTTTGTCTTATTGTTTCAACATCTAGCCCACAACTCTGAAGAAGACTTTGCAGTGCTTAGAGGGAATACATCTCAGCCAGTCTGGGGCTGTCCTAACACTGTATGTTGATAAGCTCCTGTGTACCCCATTCCGTGTGCTTGCTCGCATGGTTGACATGCTGGCTTGTCGTCGAGTTGAAATGCTTTTGGCTGCAACTTTACAGGTAAAAGCAAATATATTAATTTGTAAATAAGATGGAATAGTGCTAGCAATATAATCAAGTGTAATATGGGGTTTTAAGTAGATCAAAATAGGATGATGTTGAAATTATTTAATTAGAAATTAACTTTTTGTATTTAATATAGAGATATGTGAATGTTTACACTTCAGTTTCTCTGTATATAGTTCTCCTAATCTATTCAAAGTACTTCTGGGTATTTTATTCATTTTTGTCATATAAAATTCTTGTGACTCTTTCCTATAGAACAGCATTACTCAGTTACCAGTTGAAGAACTGGATAGAATTCAGGAATACCTTCAGAACAGTGGATTAGCAACAAGGTAAATAATGCCAATACATGTTAAAATGCCAGAATAAATAACAGTCTAGTACTAATTATATTAGCTCTGGTTTCCTATATTTGGATTTTTTTTTCTTTAAGATGAGATAGTGGACCATTTTTGGAGGTAAAACAGAATTGAAGCCTCTTACGAGGTGCAGGTATATTCTGGTACAAGGATAGTTGGGTTGGATGAGGTGAATTTGCAGTATACTTAAGAAGTAAAGCAAGCTAAAGGCTTGGAGACATATAATTCACTCTCCCACAGCCCATTCAGTATTTAACTTTTTAGAGACAGCATCTAGGAATTAATTCTGACAAACTACATTATGGAAGACAGCTTTATTTTCCTCAAATTTTGCTGAAAGGATGTGAATTTTGTTCTTTTTATTTTCTAGATAGCTTTGTTGAGTTTTAACTGTTTATCCTCCTAGCTGTTTAAAAGTAAGCTATTATAAAAGGGAGATTACTCAGTTTTTAAAAAAAGTTTTATTTAATATTGGAGCCTAATTTACTCCTCTTGATGTCATTGCCGTTTGAGTTTCACTGTTGTCTTGAAATAAGGAAGAAATAGGGGTAAAGAATCTAAAGCCCAAGACTTCTGTAGATTGGTAGTAATGTACCTACATAAGTCATGTTACATTTGAATTTTTTAAAAACTCCGAAATCCCCAAATAACTTCAGACAAGTTCTTGATAGCAGTAATTTAATAGAGAAAACCCAAACCAAAGAAGCAGCCAAAACCAAAAAAAACCCCAAACCTCTGACACTGTTGTAAGTACACAACTGCAATATTCTTAATACATTTTTTTAAAGGTCTGGTTTAGTGGATTCTTGTTTGGTATCTGTTTTATTCTTCTTGTTCATTAAAAAGTTTTACTCCCTAAAGAAAACGACACAGCTTTCATTTTATGCTTAAGTATACACAAACTTTAAATTTAATTTAAATTTAAATCTATGTTGTTGGCGGTGCTGGGTTAATTTGTTTTTGTCTTTTTTTAACTGGTGAAATTTGCAGTTTCCATCATCTGACTGCATATATCCCATAAAGAACTTAAGACCCTACTGCTTTTCTCTCACAGAATTAGAATTGGTTTACTGAATGTCTTTCTGGTTTTGAACGATTTATAAAACTCAGTAGGTTAATTCTGTGTTGATGTGTTCTTCTATTTTCAGACACCAAAGACTTTACTCACTCTTGGATAGGTTTCGTCTTATGGTAGCACCAGACACAACTAGTCCTTCACCTCTGGTTACCTCACACCCACTAGATGGAGAAGACCAACCAGCTTTAGAGAATGTAATCCTAGACAAAGTAAGATGATGTTTAGAAAGAGTCACTGAAACTGCCTTGGCATTGTGTAACTTAAATGGAAAGATTTACATCAGGTTCAGTAGAGGCCGGTATATACTCTTGTCTTTTGGTATGTTCATACAGTGATCAGTTATATTAATTTCCTGGAAACTGTTGGTTTTCCCTTGGAAAGTAAGCATTACTTCTCAGTTGCCACTTCTGAGCTTTTAACTTACTTCCAGAGACTGAACACGACTACTTAACTTTTTCTGTCTTTCATGTGCTTAGGTGCATTTATTCAAAGCAGGGTGGGAAGCTAAGAACAAGGCTTTTGGGGACTGTGTCTTTTTTCCTTGCTTTTCCCATGGCACAGATAATTTCTCCTTTTCACTCCTTTTTATTGCACAGTGATGCACAGTAATATGAAACGTGTGTAACTGAGACAGCCACAATTATTTGAATGGCTGACAGTTTGGAGGAGACTAAGTAGATGGGGAATTCCTTGACTTAGAGAGATTGAGAGCCATCTAGATAGCAGGAGGAAGTGCTGTTTGTGCTCAGAAACCATTTACCACGGCTTTCTGTCTTCAACAGAAGAGACCTTAGGTATCATATGGTTTCAAGCCCCCTGCCTGCACAGAGACACCTCCCAGTAGACCAGGTTGCTCACCACTTGTCTCTTTTGCCTTGCTTTATTCTTTGAGGGGTTCGTTTACCTTAATGTGTTCTAATGATCTTTTTAATGGACCACAATTCAAGCCAATTAGCAGTTCTTCCCCAGTCCCCATGAAATACATTATTTTCTGAAAACAAATAGGTAATAAGTTTCTTTTTTTAATTATTGAAGGACTGGTATGTGTCTCTAGTGAGGTCACAGTGTTGGATCAAGTCTGACTCGGCACTGCTAGAAGGTGCAGAGCTGGTAAATAGGATTCCTCAGCCTGACCTGAACTCCTTCATGACCAGCAAGGTAACTTCTTTATTAGATGAAACAGTCTTTTGAAGAGGATGTTTATAATTTTTTTCTTGTCTTGTTTGTTTGAAAGCTTATTGTTAGAAGATTCCTTGTATATGAGTCAGCCTTAACCTTTATGCCCATACTGTTCTGAAAATTTGAAATGAGCATATTGATTTTTTAATTTCCAGTGCATTAATGTTTGGAATTTAAATGTGAAACAAGTATGGTCTTAAATATGGTATTGTTACACCATAATAGATCAAGGGTCACAATAACAAGCTAATTAATAATTGAGCTGTTAATCTACTACCATATTAATATGCCAGAATAGTATCATCATACACAGATAAAGCTTCTTTTTAAAAGCAATTTCTTCACTTTTTATTTACTATATGATTTCAGGAATTCAACCTAAGCTTGTTAGCACCTTGTTTAAGCCTTGGCATGAATGAAATATCAAGAGACCAAAGGAGCAGCTTCTTTGAAACAGCTCGGAGGGTAACTCTGGATCATGTGTCTACCACTGTGCAAAACCTTCCTGCCAACCACCAGGTTTTTCAACCGCTGTTGCCAACTGAGCCATCAGCCTACTGGAAAAAACTAAGTGATATCTTTGGTAATAGAAATAATGGTCTTTTTAAAGTTTATTTTCCCCTCTGCAAAGGTACTTTACGGATGTCTTGTGAATATATTAACTTACTATTTTAAAATAATCAAGACACCTGGCATAAAAGTTGCTTATGAAATAATCCTGAAAAACATTTATTGAGGGCAAGAAATGCAAACTGCTAGATTTCATCCAGTCTTGTTTTATAGGAGATGAAGTCATGTATCAGTCTATGATGACCCTATGTCGTGCACTGGCTCAGTATTTGTTGTTACTCTCAAAACTACCAGCTGGTCTCCGTGTTCCTTCTGACAAAGAGGATGATATCCTGAAATTCATGGTTATGTCAGTAGAGGTAAGAAATTACAGTATAACTAAAGATGTGATGAAGTGCTGGGAGAGGGAACAACTTAAACTGATCACTATTGAGGAACTTCTTATCTGGGAAATTTTCTTAAGTGTAGAAATTCCTTCAGTTGTTATTTTATTTGACTTGTGCTAGTGAATCAGATGGAATAATGGGACAGGGACAGGTTTTTACAAGGAGAAGTTGATTGAATGATTGAATTATTTTGGCATTTGGGAGAATGGCCCTGTGCTGATTTTGGAGACACTGAATAGACAGTATATAGTGTTCATAATTTCCTTGTACTTACATTTCCTTAGGGAAAAAAAAATACACCTTGCTATATTGCTGAATAAAAAAAAAAAAATCGAAATACCTTTGGTTAGAAGTGTTTCTGTTGTAAGAATTTGCTGTTAATGGGAAATGTTTTCTTTTTTTACAGGCACTGTCATGGCGTTTAATGCATGACCAGATCCCACTGAGTATAGATCTTCAAGCTGCTCTGGATTGTTGCTGTCTGACATTACAGCAGCCTAGTCTTTGGAATTTACTGGCTTCTGCAGTTAATGTGACATATGCGTGCTCCTTAATTAATTGCATTAGATTTATCATAGAAGCAGGTGAGTCCAATTTGAACAGCCATGAGAGAATTTTCTCTAATAAATAGTCATCACTGATAAATTATTTGACAAATTTATTTTCGCTATTTCAATTTCTCATTTGAAATTTGGTTTACTTTTGAACTTAGCTGATACTTTGGAGATATAAATATTCTACTACTATTTGATTTTGACAAGAAAAATGGAATATGAGATATGTAAGGGCTGAATCTTTGAAATATTTTTGTCAAATTCAGTTGCAGTTGAACCCGGTAATCAACTTCTTAGTCCTGAAAGAAAGAAGAATACATCAAAAGGCTTAATTGAGGGTGAAGTTGATTCAAACACACAGAGTAAGTAAACAATGAATTCTGTATTTGCCTTAATCTTTCACTGTACCCTTCACATTACTAATTTTTTAATAATGAATTCATCTGAGGCCTTACTTCTATTTGAGAAGTGTTTATTACAATGTATATTTTTAACAGATAAAGTTGCTTTTTCTTTCAAACTAAACTTTAATGCACATTTTTCTTTTGGGGGTTTCCATTAGCTGTGCAGCATGCTGCAGCCTGAGGTTTTTGAACTGTTGTGAGATGTTTAAATTTCCTGTGGGAGGGGTAGAATTGTTAATATTTCTTCTGAAGAATGGCAGATTCATTAGCTCTTCTGTATGGGAGCAGTGAGTTGAGGTGAAGGTCCACTGTAGTGCTGTAGTGTGGACAGCATTGTTTTCCATATTCAGCTGTCGTGATACCTTAAGATATAATCTACAGAAATTATCTGCTTGTCAGATTTAACATAGAGCCAGCTATGAGACTGTTTTCTCATAAAACAGATGAGTCTGGTAATGTAAAATTCTAACAAATGCTCTATTCAGTGTAGCCTGTTCTTGCTGGGCTTTAGCATGTGAGTTTCTATGCTGACAGATCTCAGGTACTGGTAACCTCCAGTACTGAGACTGCCCAACAGTGCAAGCAATTGCATTGTGGGGGGAGTAGTAGTGTTCTTCAACTAGCTGAAATATTGTAGAATACTTATTTCTCTTCATCCTTAATTGTGGTTTTGGCCTTTTTAGTTGGCATACTCTTTCATTAAGTGTCTTTTGTTTTTCTGTATCTTTTTAAAATTATTTGTCTTTTGAATAGATTCATAAAACTGAATTTCTTTTTCTCTCACAAAGAAACTAAACACATTGCTGCAGCTTGTGAAATGGTAGCTGAGATGGTGGAATGCTTACAGACTGTCTTGTCGCTGGGGCACAAAAGAAACAGCTGTATTCCAGCCTTTCTGACTCCTGTCCTCAAGAATATCATCATCAGTTTAGCAAGGCTGCCTCTAGTGAACAGCTATACAAGAGTACCTCCCTTGGTATGTTCATTATGCTTTGTTTTCAGGACTTTAAAGGCTATTGAACAGCTTTTTGAAAACCAGATACAGTACTGCATGTGAAGTTTTATTACAGGAAGACTTCAACCTTTAGCTGGTTCAGTCAGCCAGTTTATCTTTTTAAACACTGAGTAGCAAAGCATTGTAAAGATATCAAATAAGAGTTCATTTTGGAATCGGAGATTTGACTAGAGAGGAGTGTAGTTGCTCCTTACACTCTTACGTGAAAGAATGTTCAGGTGGTAGTTAAAGAAAGGAAAGCGAGCAGTGACTTGGGTGCTTTGTTAGGGCTAATATTTCCTCCTGCTCAGTGGGATTGCTTACCCTGGAAAGAGGGAAAACCTATGCTGCTACTTTCTCTATGACACCTGAATTGACAAATGCATTTTTTAAATCTTTGTAAGTTCTACAATCATACACTGGTGCTGAGGTGTCTAAAGCGGTGTTTGAACTGACTCAAGTATTTGTATATGGTACCATACACCATGCAGGTATCTTTGGATTTGTGTATTAACATACTTTCCTAACTCATCTTGGATCCTTTGGATAAGGAGTTTCAGTCTTTTCTCTTTGGCCACTTCAACATGGATTTAAGAACATCTTTTGATTACCTCTATGTATTGTTAGTGCTGTGAAATTACTTAGTTTCGATCAACTTCAACCATTGATCAACCATGATGAGAAACATTTCTAGATGCTTATTAGGTAGAGCAAAAGGGGGTTTACTGATATGTTTAAGGCCCTTTCTCTAGTCTTTGTTTCTCTGCACTGTTTTTGAGGGGATGTTAAAAAGTACTAATTTTTTTTATTGAGACTATTTTGCCCATTCTTGGGTTTTCCTTTGTGCTTTTTTCAGCCATCTATAGTATGTGCAGTATTTTCCTTGACTTGCCTTTCAGCATAATTGCTGCACAATCTAGGAGTAATTTGGCACTTCTAAACTGAAATATATTACAGGAACTTACTTGCTTTCCTGTCCAAACTTGGACAAGAGGCTTGCATAATTAATTCATAGTGACAAATAAGCAAAAAAAAAATAATAATTTGGAAGTACAGTGTAAAGTGTGTATTACCTATGTTAGATATTTAATCTTTCTCTGATTTTTTGGTATTTGAAGAGTTACTTTTATTTACTGATGTCTTACTGCTTTTCAGTGGTGCATATATATATATTTATAGCTGTTGTGTTAATACTATTTTTGTTTTGGATAAGAAGTCTTTCTTTATATTTCTTCAGGTCTGGAAATTAGGCTGGTCACCAAAGCCTGCAGGTGACTTTGGCACAGTTTTTCCTGAAATCCCAGTAGAATTCCTTCAAGAAAAAGAAATCTTTAAGGAGTTCATCTATCGCATTAATACACTTGGTATGTACAAAATTATAAATGAATATAGTTCACTCTTACTGGACATTTACTCGTGTTGCAAAGTTACTGGATAACTGAGTCTGGTACCATTTGTTTACCTTGATTATGTGAAAGAGAAATAATATTCCAGAGCAGGTTAGTAACTGTATTGCAATAATTCTTACATTTTGCTCAATGCAGAGAAAAAGTTAAAAATTACAGAAATAAATCCAAAAACCTTTCCAAGTTAGGCAGGTGATTTCAGTATGCTCCACAGAATGGTCAATTGTTTTCTGAC